AAAAAAAAAAAAAAAAAAATAATCTCTATGTTGAAGATGAAGATGCTCAGAAGTCTTGCATTACTTGTCCAACTTCATTAATCTGGTAGGTGGAAGACCTGAATTAGAACTTTGGTCTTCCTGGTCTCACTTGGCCACTTTGAGAATGCATGAAAAAAAGAAACAAGATTATGGAAAGGGTGCCTAGAGTTCATAGCTGAAATGTTAGCAAGAAGAATGATGAAATAAAGTCCTGGCTCAGAGCCTTTGTTTGTGTTCTGCAGGCTGTCAGCATTTATTAAGTATCTTCCTTGCCTGGACTTGGCTCTTCCAGAGATGTCCATTTTTTTCTCTCTGCGCAGGGCCTTCCTTAGAGGACTTAAACATGCTCTTTCAGTCTGTGTCCCTGAGTGGGGCATGTGACCCCACCCCAGTGGCTTCTAGTGATTGCACAGGAAGTCACCTGGCCCAGGAGGCAGATCAGATTCTCTCTCCCAGCTCCCAGGAGCAGGGCCTCTGGCTCTCACTGCACTCTGAGCATTGGACTCAGAAGAGTTTGAACCTAGGATCTGGGCACCTGTGTTTGTGCCCTACCCGAGATGGAGAGGAAATGAGGAGACTCATAAGATAAGGGGATGAAGTGTTGGGGTACATGGGGACAGAGGGGAGGTGGAGGGTGAGGAAACTGAAATGGAGCCTATGGGAAGTGAGGAGCCAGTGGCTGTTTGTGAGGGTAGCTACTTAGAGAAAGGTGACAAATTCTTGGCCACTCAAGCAGAAAACATGAAGACCAAGTGCAGGATCCCACAAGATGGGTGGACTTAGGTGGGCAACTGTTTGATTTTATTTTGGTTTGGTTTTGCAGTGCTGAGCTGGAACCCACACATCACATGCTAAGCAAGGGTTCTACCACTGAGCTACAACCCCTGTAAAAACTCCTCCTGGTCTTCTTGCTCCAGGTGTCATTCCCCCAAATTCTGTAGCTTTCCTCCACCTGGCCTACCAAACAAAGAAATTTTGGGTGTCCATTATTGCTTCCCTTCCACAACCAATTGTTCACCCTTTTACTCTTTTCTGACCTGGCACAGGTGCTCAATTCCAAATCAAGTCTAAGCAGGGTGCTTGTGCTAATCCTAAATCTGCACGATGGGCTTTGCCCGAGGCACCCAAATTTAAACCAGTCCGGATTCCAGAGTCATGGGACCTGAATGAGCCAGGGTAGGTGTAGTGCGTCTAAGTGACCGGTGCTGGAGAGATGCCAGGCCTCCCAGGCTGCCCAGAGGATATCCCTGAACCTTCTCTGCAAAGCTCTTCACAGCTGTCAGCCAACTGGGGCTCTCTGCACTGTGCACTGTCACAGCCTCCTCCCGTCTGACAACGCCCCAGACCTCCGTGGCCTCCACCTTCCCCAAGGTACTGGCCACCTGAGTTCCTGAGTTCTGCTGTCTCCTGGAGGCAGCCACCGGGAATCCACCTCTGTTATTTGCAAGTTTCCAGCAGGGGGCGCCGTGCACTGCTGCGGAGAGGCTCGCGCTGTTCACAGGTGAGTTCTCACTGGCGCGAAGGGTGTGGCTGATTGGCTTGGTCTGGCATTTTTCCAGCCAGGTGTGAGTCACCTCACCTGGGCCCAAATTCGTCATGCTACCTTTGGCCAGCAAACCCTCTACAATTTAGAGAGTGAAAGGGAGGTGTGTAGGCGTAGACTTCGCTGTTTGAATGCGGACCAAGCAAAGGAATGAGAACTGGGGGTGTAACCCGACAGAGGTTGCGCTCTCCTGTAATCCTAGCGACTGAGGCAGGGCAATTGCTAATTTTCTGCAATTTACTTAGATTCAGTCTTAAAATGAAAAATAAAAAGGGACAGAGGGGCTGGAGCTGTGGCTTAGTGATAGAGCGCTTGCCTAGCATATGTGAGGTACTGGGTTCGATTCTCAGCACCGCATATAAATAAACAAAGGTCCATTGACATCTAAACACTATATTTAAAAAAAAAAAAGGGTGGGGGTGCGGAGATGTAGCTTAGTGGTGAAGTGTCCCTGGGTTCAGTCTCTGGTAATGCGCGCGCATGCGGGGAGACACACACACACACACACACACACACACACTACATATCTATCCCTATATATGGATATATATAGATATGTAGTGTGGGTATATACATGCATACATACATATATGTGTATATGCACACATACATATGTACATATGGGTATCTATTTGTTGCACTCTCCTTTCCTCCATTAGATTTGACTTGGTAATTTGTAAAACTCAAATGACCAGATATACGTGGGCTACTACTGAACTGTTTTGTTCTGTGGATCTGTGGATTTATCTGTTCATTTCTATGTCAACACCATATTGTCTTAATTTTGTTTTTGTTTTTGGGTACTGGGGATTGAACTCAGGGCCACTCAACCACTGAGCCATATCCCCATCCCTTTTTTGTGTTTTATCTAGAGACAGGGTCTCAATGAGCTGCTTAGTGCCTTGCTTTTTGCTGAGGCTGGCTTTGAATTTATGATCCTCCTGTGTCTGGAGCTGCTGGGATTACAGGTGTGTGCCACCAACAAGCCTGGTTTAATTTCTAATTGCTGTTATAACTCAAGAATGGATCATGAAATGAGGTAATGGAAATCCTCTTTGTTCTTCTTTTTCGAAATTGTTTTTGCTATCCTAGGTCCTTTCCATTGCTATATATCCATTTTAGAATCAGTTTATAAATTTCCATTTTTAAAAGTTTTGTTGAGATTTTGATAAGGATTCAGTTGAATTTATAAAACAATTTGGAAAGAAATCTCTTTTTTTTTTTTTTTGAAGGGGGGGGTTGGCGATACCCAGGATTGAACTCAGGATCACTGGATCACTGAGCCATATCTCCAGTCCTATTTTGTATTTTATTTAGAGACAGGGTCTCATTAAGTTGCTTAGTGCCTTGCTTTTGCTGAGACTGGCTTTGAACTCTGCTTCAGCCTCCTGAGCTGCTGGGATTACAGGTGGGCACCACCACACCTGGCAAGAAGAGATGTCATAATGTTGAGTCTTCTGATCCTTTAGGGTGGTATTTCTCTCCACTTATTTAGGTCTTTGTTCATTTTCCTCTCCCAGGTTTGGGAGTTTATCCTTAATAATTTTATGTTTTTAAATGCTTTTGTAAATGGCACTTTAAAGATTTGAATTTAAAATTCTGTGTTGCTAGTATATAGAAAAACACTTGATTTTTTTAAAGACATTACTTCTGAATTTTATGAATGTGCTTGTCACCAACCATACCAATTTGTCTGAGACTTTTACAATTTTAGCAATAAAATTTGATAAACTCTTAGATTCTGGTTTTTAGTGATGTATGCAGAAGGTGAAGGGAAAGGTTCAAAACCCATATGGAAATTCCCAATACAGAGTCTGAAAACAACATTGATTATAGTGCCAGCACCTTCTTTCGTCTGTATTACTGATGACAGCAACCCTGATTTGCAATTCAGAATAGTGGATCATCCATTATTACATCACTCCCAGTGATGCAACTTGCATGCACTGTACTCGTAAGCATGAACATCCACTTTGCCTGTGGATTAACTGTTGTGCTTTGATTTGAGAGAGTGCTTGTTTAATTTTAAGATGGCAAATATTGAAAGCATGCTTTTAAAGAGTTCAGATAATGAAAATGAGAATGATGATGCCAGCATGACCCAGACATAGTGGTCATTTACAAGGCTAAGTGATATGTTATTTGAATGACAACTGGAATAACACAAATCAGATAGGGAGGTAAAGAATCAAAACAGAGCATAGTGCATAATGTGCAAAAGAGAATTGGGGACATGGTACAGAAAGGAATATGAAAGTACCTGTAGAAACTACATATGTATCTCTATCTATGGATATGTAGTGTGTGTATATACAAGTCCTCAGTGAGATAGGTGAGCACCTTAAAATAATCCAAAGAGTTTGGGTCTTTCCTAAACAGCCCAAGTCTTAGGTGAAATTAGCAGCGATTAAATTAGCTCAGACACAGCACATCAATGAACTCAAATGATTGTATTGCTCCTTTGGTGGTTCTGTGAAACTGAGTTAAATCACATTTGCTCATTGAAATCAAAGCCCCACTGCCTTTAGCAGTGTTGTGTACAGGTGAGCAGGACATTCTGTGGTTAACATCTTTGCATTTTCATTAATAAGGAGTTCACAGACTGCATGGAATTTGCAAAAGTTTACATTCACACTATGTCAAATATGCAGATGTATGAGCAAACTTTCATTTGTATTTGGATGAGATGTCATTTTTTTTTCAGTTTTGTTAAAACCTTTATAGAAACCAAAAGGACAATTTGAAACTCCATTTTTTGAATTCAAGTACTTAAGAGATAGGGGAACACTTTTTAATGCCAAGATTTGGTATATGATAGAAAACCTGATTATTTGTAGGATCTGATAGAATCAACTCTTTGTACCCTGTAAAGGGCCAACACAGCTGTCATAAATTTTTTTTTTTTTTTTTTTTTTTGGTAACAGGGATTGAACCAGGCTGCTTAACCATTGAGCCACATCCCCAGATCAAAGTTGCTAAGGCTGTGATTAGCCTCTGGAGCTGCTAGTATTTTAGGCGTGCATCACCATGCCCAGCAGTTATCAAAATTTCTCTTTTTGTTGGCCATAGGATATTTCATGAATTAATGAATTATTTGGGAGAGTGGCTTTATAATAAAAGCAAAGTGTCTGTATCATTCTTGCTCTTTCTCCCCATCTGGTGCCCTCCAACATAGTATAATGCAGCAAGAAGGCCCTGAACCTGATGCCAGTATCATGCTCCTGGACCCCTCAGCCTCCATCAATAAGCTTCTATTCTTAACAAATTACTCGTCTCAGGTATTTTGTTATCACAATAGAAAACAGACTCAGGAGCAGTCAAACTGAAATATATAAGCTGTTCCTCCAAAACTGCTTAATGATTTTTGAAGAGCCCATAAAGACTCTGGGAAAGGACAAACTGACTGTACCTGAGTTGCTCAATGTTATGTGAGGGTAGTGGCAAAGCCCATAAAATAAAAATGACTCATTTTGGGGGGGAAATAAAATGAAACAAAATGACATCAGAATACAATGACCAATTTAAATAGGACATTCTCATTTCTTTACTAAAACTAACTTATTTGTAATCCAACTTCGGCTTCACAAATTCAAATTATTTCTGTGCTTTAAGACCATTTTCCCTGAGAGAAAGAGAAAGTGTGGTTTACTCTATAATGGTACCTGGTGTACTTTGAAATGTTTAAGAAGGTTGGACATGGGCTGGGGTTGTGGCTCAGCGGAAAAGCACTCGCCCAGCATGTGCGAGGCCCTGAGTTTGATCCTCAGCACAAATAAAATAAAGATATTGTGTCCAACTACAACTAAAAAATAAATAAATATATCCCTTAGATTTGGATATCTTACATGATGAATTTATAGATTCAAAGGATGGCCAAAGCTGGTTTACCAAACTGGCCTGTGGATATAAAGAGAATGGATAGTTTGGAGAGCTGGAAACAAATTCCCATAAATCTAAAAACCTGCTGCTGGTGGTAAGTAAATACTAGGTATTCATGCTTCACTACTTTTGTGAGGAGGACAGTTAACTTGATGTCATCATATTGGAATGACACCAGGAATCTGCAATGTGGGATTCCTAGGAGGAGATATGTAACAAGAAAACTTTGTCTGATACTACCTTAAAGAAGGATTTACGAAAGACCACAGGCAAGTTAATAGAATGAATTAAAAAAAAATCCTACTGTATGATAGAACCATAAGACAGTTTTTAATTAATTTTTTTTAATTAATTAATTTATTTGTTCTGATTTGTTGTACATGACAGCAGAATGCATTTCAATTCATAGTACACATAGGGAGCACAATTTTTCATTTCTCTGGAGGTACACAGCATTTGTGTCTTAATTCATGTATCTCATCCCATCATCTTTCCTACTCCCATATCCTCTCCCATCTCTTCCCTCCCCTTTGCACCATCCAAAGAACCTCCATTCCTCCCATGCACTCCTCCCCACTCCCATTACGGATCAGCATCCACTTATCAGAGAGAACACTTGGCCTTTGTTTTTTTGTAGTTATTGGCTTTACTTCACTTAGCATGATATTCTCCAACTTCATCCATTATCCTGCAAATGCCATAATTTTATTCTCTTTTAATGAGAGTAATATTCCATTGTGTATATATACCACAGTTTCTTTATCCATTTATCTACTGAAGGGCATGTAGGTTGGTTCCCCAGTTTAGCTATTGTGTTGCTATAGACATTGATGTGGCTGTGTCACTGTAGTATGCTGTTTTTAGGTCTTTGGGTATATAGCAAGGAGTGGGATCACTGGATCAAAAGTGGGTCAAACGGTGGTTCCATTCCCATTTTTTTGAGAAATCTCCATACTGCTTTCCAGATTGACTGCACCAATTTGCAGTCCCACCAGCAATATAAGAGTGTGCCTTTTCCCACATATCCTCGCCAACACTTAATGTTGTTTATATTCTTAGTAACTGCCATTCTGACTGTAGTGAGATAAACTCTTAGAATAGTTTTGATTTGCATTTCTCTAATTGCTAGAGATGTTGAACATTTTCTCATATATTTGTTGTTTGATTGTATATCCTCTTCTGAGAAGTGTCTGTTCAGTTTCTTAGCCCATTTACTGATTGGGTTATTTGCTTTTTTGGTATTAAGCTTTTTGAGTTCTTTATATATCCTGGAGATTAGTGTTCTATCTGATGTATTTTCATTAAATATTGATAGTTTAGTTCTATTGTATTGTCATTCTCCCCCAACTCTCTACTACCAGTACTGGGGATTGAGCCGAGGATATTCGACCATTGAGCTACATCTCCAGCCTTATTTTTTTTTTTTTAATTTTTGTTGTTTGTGGGGATTGAACCCAGGGCCTTATGCATGGTAGGCAAAAACTCTACCACAGAGTTGTACCCCAGCCCCCCTTTTATATTTTGAGACAGGGTCTTGCTAAGTCGCAAGTTCAATCTCCAGTACAAAAATAAATAATAATAATAATAAAAATAAAATAAACTTCTGTATCAGAGGACACAAACATAAATGCTTTCTCATATATTAGTTTTTTTTTAAGAGAGAGTGATAGAGAGAGAGAGAGAGATTTTTTTTAATATTTATTTTTTAGTTTTCGGGGGACACAACATCTTTGTTTGTATGTGGTGCTGAGGATCAAACCCAGGCCGCACGCATGCCAGACGAGCGCGCTACCGCTTGAGCCACATCCCCAGCCCAATCATATTAGTTTTATTAATCCTATTGGTTGTATATTTTTTTGTAGAGCTGAGGATGGAACCCAGGGCCCAGTGCATGTTTTGCAAACATTCTATCACTGAGTTACATCCCCAGCCCCCTATTATTGCTACTGTGAACTAATCCTTTTTTAAAAAATGATAGCATTTATGTAATGAAAAAAATAAAATGCACACTATAATCTCAAATAAACACCTTTTTTCATATTTTAACACTTGTAACTAACTATACATGATCTCAAATAAGTGATTTTCATATTTCTATGTTGAAGTAATAACATAATTACTTTTATGAATAATTAATTTTTAACTCGTTATGTTGAGGTTTTTCTGTCTGGTATGGCTATGTCCGGGTTGGATCTCTTCAGAGACACTGGCTAAAGGAATACGTGTTCTCCTCCGACTACGCCTTGTCTAACCGTGGGTACCACAGGGCCGACTTAGACCTACTCGCTACTCTTAAGGCTCAATTTGGTGATGGCGCCTAACTCAAATCAAGCAGAGCGGGGGCAGTTCCCACACCGCCCAGGGCGCTCCCTCTAGCAGGGGCTCTCTGGAAGGCTTCCCGGAGGAGGAGGAGGAAGAGGAGGAGGAGGAGGCGGAGTCGCACAGGGGATGGCTGGAGTTCAACGCGGCGAGCGTAAAGGGTCGGGCGGGGCTCGGCACCTGGGCCTCTGCGGGCTGGTGACCCGCACAAACACCGGGGCTCCGCGCGCCCCCAGCTCCTGGCGCTCTGCGCCCCTCCCTGACTCGAACCCTGGTGGAGCCACAACCCCTAGCAGTGCCGCCGAGTTGGCTCCGCGGACGGCCAAGGGGCGCAAAGGCTGCTGCGGCGGAGGGCGGCTGCTGCCCGGCTGTGCCCTCGCGGCGC